GATCAAATTTTGAATTGGTAGGATACAAGAAGAGGTTTCAAAGAATGTGTTTGACATATTAAACCTGTTTATTTCACTTCATGAGAGTCACAATCAGCGATTTTTCACAAACTCACTCACTCACTCACTCACTCACTCAGCGATCAGCAAATCGCTGATTGTGACTCATAGAAAGCAAAATTTACAGGTTTTATGTTTTCAACGCATACTTTGTAACCTCTTCTTGTAAGTTACAAGTAAAACATGCCATCATACCATCTTTTGGTTTTATTATTCCGAAAAACATTATTTTAGCTGAAATGAGTCTTTGCAACCTTGGTTAAGACTAGGGTTCTGATGCATGGTCATAACCGGTGTCATTCCTTAGTTTTGTTGCTAAGGAATCCAATTTTGACTGACAAAGGGGCACGCCTTTGAAGGGTGTTTCAACACTCCGAAGGGTATAAATAGCGGGACTTTTGAATTAGGGTCGGATCCTTGCGATAAATGCAAGAATGACAACTGTAAAAAATCGAATACTTTATCATTTCTCAATAGTGATGGAGCAATACGACATGCACTAAACTAAGGAAACGGGATATACTACAATAGATCAAATTACTGGTCGCAGTGGTGTTAGGTCCCGAACAGAGGAAAAAAAAAGTGATTCAATTATTTCCGTAGTGAACTTTCCACGATGATTCAGTACTTTCCGAAGTAATTTTGAATTTTTCTGAAGTGTTTTCGATCTTTTTTGAAATTATTCAGTAATTTGTGAAGTGACTCTTAACATTTCTAAAGGGTTTCAGTACTTTCTAAATTGATTCTTAACTGTTCTGTATCGATTCAGTGCGTTCAGGAGTAATTCCGAGCTTTTCGAAATGATTGAAAACTTTTCTGAAGAGATTTAGTACTTTCTGTAGTGAATTAGAACTTTTCTGAAGTAATTTACTACTTTCCGAAGTGATTGCTTTGCTGAAACTGAAATGCTGAATTGAAGCAATTTAGTACTTTTCGAAGTGATTCCGAACTATTCTCAAGTGATTAAATACTTTCCGAAGTAATTTCGATTTTTTCGATATATGAATCCAAACTTCTCTCCCATATCTCACCGTGAATGAATTTTGAAAGCATCATCATGTCAAAATTTCTATCTTACGCCACTAAGTAGCGCCAACTTTTTGTCCGCCAATAAATTGCACCGTTAGTGGGCGTTAGCCACTTCAAATTAAAAGATTTCAATATTTTTTTTTAACTTAACATGTTTACCAGGGGTACTAGCCATTTCAAACTTAATATTTTTTTACTTCTTCCTTTTTTTTCTTTTCCTTGATTTTTTTCTTCGATCTTGTTTTCCGACACAAGTGAATCACTTGCTACCGACGCCAGTGAGGCAGCTCCCATATCTGGACCCTACCTATAGACCCATCAACTCATGAACTGGGGACCATCGGCTTTACTTCCCTTCCGAAAGGAATTCCGAAGAAAGGTGTGAATTGAATTCCGAAGGAAGGCGTGATCAGACATGTTATGCCTCAGAACATCCCGGCGGCGCTTACTGGGATTGAACCCAGGCATGCTGGGGTGAGAGGTAATCACGCTTACCACAACATACACCACGGCACTAAACTTCTTCCGGAACGTTTATATAAGCGGCGCTAGCCACTTCAAATTTTACGATAGATATCATTTTATCCCTGAACCTGTCTATCAGGCGCGGCCATTTAAAATTTAATATATTTTTTAAAAAATTTCCCTGAATTACAAGGGCGCTAGCATTTTACAAAATGGACCACTGCCCGGACCCGGCACTTAATGAAACCAGCACCATTAAATTCCCTATAATTGTTCACGTGAAATATGCTGATTTTCAGTCAAAAAATTCAGTGGCAATTGTAGCTATATACCAACTCAAAAAGATACATATTTAGAGTGAAATGGGGCAAAATCGACCAATTGCCAGCCTCGACACAGGATGAAAATTTCCGTTCTCGATTGAAATTCAGCGGCGTCTCAACTGTAGGAATTCGGGCTCGTTTTTTCCACTGTGAGGTGAGGGAAGGAAGATCAATTTTAGGCAAATTTACCGTGACATAACATGAACGCGCCCTAATAATAATATTTACAATGCATTCCACCATGGGAAAGTTAGGATATATGCAGTGTAAAAGGTTCCAATTGGCAAAGAAGCTTAATAAGTATATTTGCTCAGTGTGAGATGTTGTCACTTTAGTTAATGACAGTACGACAAACCACTAGTGCCGATTTACGAAACATTTCTAATTAGCAAATTTTTCAGTTTAGGATTGACGCAATTCTGCTATGTGAGTAAACTGGCATTTGTTATAGCGAAAACTTACCCCTTATAATTTTATCAAGTCGGCGCTTCTTTCAACACAATTGATAATGAAAATCCATCCACGAATGAACCAAAACAATTGTTGACTTCAAAACTCGACGACTGTTTTGATCAAGAAAATGTTGTCATGTCAAAATTTCAAAACTCATACAGGTGGTAGGTTTATCTGTTAAGGTTGGCATAACAGTCTGCGAATTTTAGTGTAGAAGAAATGTGTTCTTATGTTATCAATGCTTTTGCTACTGCTGCCAAATTACTGCAAATAAAGTTGAGAATTTTTTTAAGGCAAATGATCGAATCCCATCTTTAATTTCCAAAATCGTCATCAACAGTGTCATACATCTCGACTATCATGCGTCTCCATAAGGTCAATTAAACTTTAAATGAATGGTATATGTATATAGGGGAAATGGATGTAATGTCGGCCTAAATGCTCCTAATTTGGGCCCATACATAAAATCAGCAATCGACTAAATTTTCAATAGCGACCAAAAATATCCATTAATACCGTCCCAATGACGCGTTCATCTAGATAAAATTGATAAATAGCAGATTGTTAGCGATGGGCCAAATCTTAGGTCCATAGGTCAACATTAGAGCCTATTCCCCTACTTTTAGACATAAAAACTATAAAAAATCACCACAGACCTAACAGCTTCATACAGATATGCGCTTATTGTTCTTGATGCCCCTTTAAAATCCCGGTTCGGGGACGATCTTTTTTAAATGGATATTTTCCTGGATTTCTTTAAAAATTTAGTACGATTGTGATTGCACAGTAGAGACGAACCAGCCCACGACTGAAAATCTCTTTAATAAAGACAAGAAATAAATGAAAGTGATTGCACAATAACATCTGCGAAATTATTCAAAGATCACAAGAACACAAAAGGGAGACATATCTTATTCCGAAATTTGAAGTTGTTAAAATTCTTTTTCAGCGGTTAAAAAATAATCAGCTGTTCGAATTCATAATTGTATGAACCATCAACACCAATAATTTGAGTAATGCTTCCAATCGAAGTAAAACATTATCAGCATTCCGAAGCAATCACAAATCCATCGATCTGTCACTAAACTGCTATCACCAAGCACTTTTCATGCTTCGACATCTAAACAAAGCCATCAAAGAAAAGTACCTCCGCCAACACCAATCAGTCAGTTCCTGTCATATACGATTGCCAACATCGCACTCAAGCATCAAATAATCGCTCCCAATCCGATTACGTAGAACAAATCAATCGCAATCCTTAAAACCACTCGTACCATCTGCCACATACACGCAGCCACACACTCACACACACGCAAAGGAACGCTCTCGAGCCGAGTTCAGGGATCAATATTGGATCAAGCATTTGTCACGAGCTCCCCCGGAAGATTGCTTTTTGCACGTAAATTTTTACGACGCATTACACCAACCCACCCACCATCACACACAGGCTAGGCACTTTTATTTGAATCGAACTCCGACGGCAAATTCATCCTCAACCCCAATCGATACGCTGCTGCTCCTGCTGCTCGATAAAATCTTGCCATTTCAGTTGTCGTGACACATCCGGAATGCTCTGGTGCCACAGGACCCGAGTCTGTGATGGGATCAAAATTAATGACACGTCCCAGCACCACCTCCACCTTACCCACACACGCACACCTCCGCTTCGCCAGAACTCATCAAATTTTCATACCTATCACGTACCGCTCTTTTTCGACACATTAAAAGTAATGCTCAATTATATGATTATCGCCGCCGCCGCCGCCGCACCCAAACCCCACCACCCTTGCAAGCACTGTTTCGGATAAAGGGTTCCTGCACGTTCCGTGGATCCGCCAGCGCTCCACCAGCAGCAGCAGCAGCCAGAAAATCCCTTTTCCCATTCCGGTTCCGGACACGACTTGACGAGACTTACATCACATCACATCACACACTCATCTCCAAATGGTCATAATTTACAGCCCCGGAGTACTTTTTTGCGCTTTTCCTTCGGACGCTCCCGTCGCTGTCGTCGGTCGGTGCCTTCCATCTAGATAGAGCTAGAGAGAGAGCTATCCCACAGGGCGTCGTGTGGCAAGCACTCGCTCCTCGCATACATGCTTATGCTGATGCCATGGTTCGCACTTTTCCACCCAAGTCGGGAAATTTTCCCGACGGCAGCACGAGCGACCTGATCCTCCCCGGTGTGGCGTTGTCGGTGTGTGCGAGTGCTGCGCTCACTCGTACACAGGCAGCCAGGTACACCTTGCGCACGCAATCCAATGGTCGTCGGTAGTAGGGCGAAAAACAATAACAATAAATTATGAAAACAACATGCATTCTGGAACTGTCAGCTCTCGGCGTTTTTCGCGAAACGTTCGGGAGGAGAGATTTATGGCGCACGAAGAGAGCGACATGCGAAAGAGAGAACCGAAGGGAAGGGGAATCGTTCCCCTGTGTGGATGGCTCTCACGAAGTTTTATGTTATTTACTGCCTTCTGGGCAGTCTATTACAGTTTCGGTAAGGTTTTCTGATATGGGGTTGTATTAGTGCGGAGGTTTTTCCCCTTTAGAGAGTGATTATCCCCACCCAAATGTGGGTAGAGAGCAGAGAGCGCCCGGTGATCATCACACACTGAGCTCGGTTTGCTTTCAGCAGCTAGCCATCACTCAGTGTTTCGTAGACAGGCGGTTTAGCAAGAACGCGTCAAAGCAAAGAACCGAGACTTGCGGACGGTGTGTGTATCGTCGGCAATTTCTGCGAGGGCGAACAGCAGGCACTATACAGGGAAGAGTGCGCTGTTGAGATCTAGTGAAGAGTGCGTTTTCGTGTCGAAAGGTGAAAACAGAACAATCTCGCGTGCAACTGTGTGAGACTGTATGAGTGGGCGCACACGGCCTTCAATGTGCTAGTCGCGGAGACGACGGCAGTGGTGTCCTTCTGGAACGACAGGCACCGACAGTCTTCGTGCGAGGAGAGATCCCAACGCCTTGGGTGTGAGGCGGTGCTGCAAGGACCTGGGGGGTGGTAGCAGGGAGAGTACGAAGGCGCGAGTTCCTTTCGTGTGATTTCTCTCCGGAGGACGTGTTTGTGTGTTGTGTGGATGTTATTGTTTTTTGCTGGAGCCAGTTCGTGAGTGTTTTGTGTATATCGTGTGTGCATGTCACTGTCTACGTTTGTTGGCGACGACGTGTGCTTGCTTGTGTGAGACACAGGCTCCTGATGGTAGCAGGCAGCCTGGCGAGAGCGCGCGGGTCGTCATCATCAAACCGGGAGCAGCGAACGTGTTGTGTCGCTCTCGTCATGTCAATGATGTGATGTCCGTGTGGAAGCAAAGAGCTCGTCAAAGTCCGGAGCGCGCTTCGCAGCATCAGTCAAATCCGCGGTGAAAGGACGAAGGACAAAAGCATCCGCCAACAGTACGGCGCCAAACAGTGGCTAGTGTAGAGGTGTGTTGTGGTAGAAGAACAAGAAGAACTACAACGACATCAGCACCAGTAGCAGAACAACAGAGTGAATCCGAAGGCTAGCAGAGTGACATCTTTTGCCAGGAATTGGCAGCTAGAACCTTTCTCGCTGGCCACCAGCCCGATGAGAGACGCTACCGTCCGTATCGCGCGTGAACGCCGAGCTACTCCAAGAAGATACAGAGCAAAATGTGTGTCGTCGTAGTGTTTGGCCGAATACGCGAGTGTTTGCGACCCGGTCGCGCTTTGTAATCATCATCCCTTACTCACTTTGCCTGCGTGTATGCAAACAGCAGCACCTGTCTGCTCTCTTCCAGAAGAAGAAAAAAAAAACGGGAACAAGAAAGTTTCCCAGTGATTGAATCCGTTCACATGAAACCAGTCGCCAAGTGTTATTGTTGACCGAAGTGAAAGTATACCAGTTCGTATTGGAAGAGCAAAATAATAACCAAACCGCAAGCTAAAATGTGCTGAATCCCACGAACGAAGAGCAGTTAATCAACGCAAGTTGAGCCAATTTTTTTTTCCTGGAGTAACCGGTTAGAAGAAAACGTTTCAAAAATTGAGAACCAAAATCTCCCTTCAATGATGCTCCACGAGGCAGTAATGTTGGAAATCTACCGTCAGGCACTTCACGCCAGGTAATCATCAATTCCTGCTTCATTCAACGCTATATTATTTTAAAACCGAAACCCATCATCTAAGAAATACTCTATGAGGACCATGCCGTCCAACCGGCGAACTCCTTGAGGCCAATAAGTAGCGGCAGAAAACCTAACGAAACGATGATAGATGACGACGTGCGGTGTTATTTATAGTTTCATACATCTCAGACAGCTCTCCGGAGCTCTCGGCAGCTCTGAGTCGCTAATTAAAAGAAACAATAACATTGTGTTGCCTCCCACTTTTCGCCTATCGCAGTGAACGCAATTGTTTCTAGTTTTTTTTTTTTGTTCTCCATCGTTTTCGGTGGTCATTGGTGCGTGTTTTCACCGGAGAGCGCGTACTTTCCTACTGCCGTAGCCTGAAATGGTGCGGTGGAGCTACTTCAACTTCCCTTTGGCCGAGTGCTCTCCTGACTTGGAGATGGTGGTGCTGGTGGTGTGTGTTGGTACCGGGTGAAGTGTGCTACTGTACGTAGGTACCTACTGTGTTGTGCTATGGTGGCCTTCGATTTATGGCCTCCTTTAAGTGGAACGTCGTAAACTTTTATGGACCGGCCCCTTTGGTCGGTCGCTGTTGTGTAGTTGCAATATTTTGCTGTTTTATTTTTTTGGAGTCTTTCAATTTTTGAACGATGAAAAGGAAAATTGAAAACTTGTGCCGAAGAATGGCTGACGAAACACTGGCGGTGTTTGGTTTTGGCATGTGCTTATGGGGACATTTCTCGTGAGAGGTTTGTTTTTTCCTAGCTTCATTTTCACGATCAAATTGTAATGAAAGCGGAACTAAGTACAGTTTATCAGGTGTAACCTTGCTATTGATTATTTTCAAGCAAAGTGTTAGATTCTGGAAAATCAGACGAGTGTTTGATATGTCGTTTTGTAACCAGCAAATTAATATGCTTTGCAAACAGAAACGCTTTTAATTGTAAAAATGTTTTAAAGACTTTCGGCTCCGTCAAGTTTCATTAACAGTTGTCCCATAACAAATAAACAGTTAGAATATAAAAAAACAATGCTGATCGATGCGATGCTAATGTTTTACGAAAGCAGTTCTCAGATCCCATGGATGTTACAAAAGTTGTTTACATACACATTTTATACTGCCAAGGGTGTCGACTACCTGGAAAATTAGGGCATTTCAAGAAATTCCATTAAGTCTTGGAAAATCATGGAATCTAATGGAATTTATTTAACAATCAGAGAAGTATTTCTAAATCCTTCCTGAAAAGCATAACTAGTCTCATTCAATTCAATTACTCGGTTTAGTTTTAGGATGTTTGTTAATTAATAAAACCTTCAATAGAAATGTGAGCTTGTGAGAGCTGAAATGAATTACTTTAATTGCTAAAGCAAAGAACATAGTCCGCTCCAGCTGCATATGTATTGTATAAAAATTACAGATGCATTACTGTAGGAACTTTCCAAATCATATAAATTTACACGCTAGTGGGCCTTCCCTGATTTGAAATGGGATCCAGAGGGGCGGTAAAAATCCATTTACATCTTCGAGTAGAGCTATACATTGTTGGTTGTGACAAAGTTCATGCTCCAAGAGGATTATCGCATTTCTGAGTGGCGCTGTGTTTAGTTCGGTCAAACAAACAATGGGTTGGAGCGTCTTTGTGTAAATGCTAGAATGGCAAAAAGTTAAGAGATATCGTTCTGCACACTTGTAGTTCTAGTTCCTTATTGTGTGCTTAAGAGCCGGATAAGGATTAAGAATTATGATCCTACTTGCATGGACGAATTTTTCATTGCTTGAAGTGGCAGATTATGATTAAATATTGAACTCAGGGTAATATGGACCAAAATATCTAATTCTGTGAAAGCACAACTCTGAACATCAAATTTTCGGTTATGCTGATGGGAAGAAAGTGGGGCGCAATTCCAAGTACCCAACAAGCCTGCTTAATAATATTCCGACTAATAATGTGCCGAAGCCCAGTATAAGTCGTTAGTTACAAGGCTGTTACAACAGGTGCGGATTTCGCGAATTTCACGATTTTCATGGATTGTCGCGGATTTGAACTTTCAGTCGCGAAAATCGCGGAAACATTAAATGATGTCGCGAAAATTCCGAAGGGACTGATGTGCCGTCACAAAAATTGTGGAATTTATTGTAACCTTTCCGTCCCGGATTATTTTGTAGTCATCAATTTTGTTGTTCATTTGGCTCTGAATTTTTACCGGTTCAAACCAAACACCCTGCAAATAATTGAGAAATGATCACAATTGGTTTGTCCAATGTGAGACATTTACATGTTTCTTTTTATTTCCAATATGAACATTGCATTTTTGGTTGTCAAATCATAAACGAATCGTATTTATGCGAGCAATTGTATACCATGTATACCGGATATTCTAAGTTCTCCAAATCGTCCTGGAGTTCAGTTGGTTTGTTCAACCAAGACTGCAATAATGTATGTAGTGTATGTAGTGAAATATGTCCGAACAGATTCAAAGTGTCTATGTGGATCGTGCCCGACCTATTGCTACGTATACAAGATGTTATAGGTTCTGAAATCATTCTGGAAATCAGATAATTTTTCTACTAGATCACCTAAGACTAATTCAACATCTTTAGTATCGAAATATGTCCAAACAGATTTGCAGTGTCTATGTGGATCATGCCAACCTATTTCCGTGTATGCCAAATGTTCTAGGATTTCCAAATCGATATTTCGATACTACAGATATTAGCCCAATTTTTGTTGATCTAGTAAAACAAATCATCTGAAATGCAGGACGATTTGGAGAACCTAGATCATCTGGTATACGTGAAAATAAATCATACATTATCCATATAGACACTGTGCATCTGTCTGGAAATATTTCGATAATAAAGACATTGTCTCAATCTCGGTTTGAAGGACAATTTGAAGAACCTTGAACAACTGGATTACTCGGAAATAGATCCTGCATGACCAGCATAGACACTTTGAATCTGATTGGACATTTTTCGATACTACACCCAACCCGAGGGATGTAAGATTCGCTTACAATTATGTGGGATTCATCATCAGAGGATGTTAGTGAAGACCGCATGAACCGAGGATGCGATATACCTAGCTGCGGTCCAATGCATGAAAATTGGAGACCGAAAAATGTAGAGTGTATTAGTGAGGTAAATTAGTTATGTCGAAAAAAATAGGAATCCGATTTCCGACTGGACTCGAGCCAAGAACGCTTCGATTATCAGACCTGTCCTTGCTCCACTTGCTCCTGAATATGGATAGCCTAAAAGCAAACATGAAGCGGTCATTTTCTCGCATACTCGACTTCGTATGCTTTTTCTGCTGGAGAGATTCGAGGCAAGTGTGTGTGTCGTTCTACAAGCTTACTGGTATAGTCGAAAGCGTAGATAGAACACGAAATGAAAAAGACAAAAAACCATTACATCGCCTGTAAGGTCAACTTCTAACATTCGCTGCGATGTTCATGAACAGAGGATGATGGGAAACGGAACTAACATTCATTGTAATAGATTTTTGGTTTGCGTGTACAGACATTATTGCAGTCTTGGTTGATCTATTAGAACAAATCAACTGATGGCCTGGACTATTTGGAAAACCTATAATTTTCGGTATACATAGTAATAAGTCGCGCATGATCCACAAAGCTACATATATATGATTCGGTTATGATTTTACAACGAAAAAATCTCACGAAAATGTCTCACCATTGGACAGACCTCAAGGGATATCCGTGTAAATACAAAACCGCGACGTGACCAACAAGTGTGACTTATGAAACTCTGAAACTCTGGTAATTTCTCGATTATGTGCAGGGTGTTTGGTTTGAATCGGTAATAATTGAGAAGGCTAGAGTCATTTTGGACAGAAAAATACGTCAGAGACGCAAAGGTTAATTTTCAAGAAAATTTGCATTTCAAATGAAAATGTCTATTTTTTTTAAATAATGTTTCACCAAATCTAGGCCGGTATTATTAAAAAAAAAATCTCATAATGTAAGGGTGTTTTAATATGTTCACTTAGGGCATCTTCAGCGGTGGTCCAAATCCTGGTTTTGGTCTATTTTTTTAGAACAAACACAAAAACACTGCTGCACCGGTGTTCCAAATTTTGTTTTATACCGGATCTAATCTGCATAATTTTGAATCTGGTATATGATTTGATCTATTTTCGTCACAATTTGGAACAAGAAAAATACTGTTCCAAATCACTCTACACGCTCGTTCGAGCTAACTCAAAATTGAGTAAAAAGTCACAAAAAAGTTTCTACTCAGTTGAATAAGATCTAGTAGATATGGAAATGAGTATGAACAACTCAAATTGGATGCTGTTGATTTTTTTTTGTATCACTTTCGCATGTTTTCTTTCTTGCGAAAAATAACCAAACAAGAATAATAGCAATCAAGAGACGTTTTAGCCTCTATTTGCACTTCCTTATTAACCTTTGCGTTACGAACCTCCAAGATCTCAAATTCAAATGCCGTTTCGTCAGTTTTCAACGAATTTTTATGAAACCAATTTCAAACGATCACAATTGAACGAAAATTTTATAACAGCAAGCGGTTCTTGAAAAATCTTGAGCCATTCTGGAGATCTTCCGGAATCTACCTATTTTCAGTAGGAACCTATTTTCAGTAGGAACATAGGCAAGAAACTCAAAAATCAGTTTTGCCAATATTAATTTTCTCTTGAGTTAATGTTACTCAAATTCATAAATCACGATTACACATACTATGACGTTTCAAAGCATGATATGAAATTGAGTAACTTGTACTCAAGTTTGAGTTAGCTCGAACGAGCGTGTGTTGGGTTTTTTGACAGACGATGGGAAATAAACCAAAACAAATAGATTCTTCAGTCAGGTGCTTGTTCGTGGCAGTCTTTTGATTTCGCTTGTCGTTTTCTGTCGGTGATTAATTCGATTAATGATAAATTTGTTTGCTTTCTGTTCAGTTGAAGGTAAGTTGTAATCAAATTGAGCATCCTGGAAGTTGAACAACAAAG